CTGAGCGCAGCCGCTGGATCCCCAGGACGGGCTTCGACTCCTCCCCTTCCTTTGAACCCTACAATTCCAACCGGGACTCCCCAATAAATGGATGAGGATAGAGTGAGCTGGGTCCTGCGTTCTCAGTGTTGGGGCAAAGATCAGAGAATGTGAGGGTCGGAATGGGGGCTTGGCAGGAACGCGGCCGATCCTAATGTCACCCCTGGCCTGGAGGCCACTCTAACGGTGCTTTGGGGCTGTCCTTGGTCGTGCGGACTCCAGCGTCGCAGCCGGTGGGAGCAGATCAGCCCCAGGTCTGCCCATGCCGTTTTCTCTAGTCAGACCTGCGTTTGGGCCTCTCTCCTGCCTTCCAAATCGCGCAAAGTTCGTTGTTTCGCTCAGCGTGTTGGATATGTGTCGGGACTCAGGGGACTTCTGAAAGCCTGTTTTTATGGCTTACGCGCGGTCCGTAGGGACCACTGATGCTTCCTGGCCCCTCGGGAAAAGGAGGTTCCCTGCCCCGGACTCTTTCTCCCAATTCCTCCATCAGCGGAGGAATAACTCCTAGCGGAGCAGTAACTGCCCTCAGAAGAATAATTGCAACTTTCCCTAAAATCTGCAGCAAAGGTCCCCACATATGGTGTGATTCAGTGCCAGTGACCCAGGGAACCCAGAAACTGTGGCCTTCGCGGAGGTGGGGACCTGGACTGGCCATGTTTCCCCATGCAGTCCCAGGGTCTCCATTCCTGCCGCGCTCCCGCAGATAAGGGCGGGCGGGGCGCTGGGAGGGGGGAGTTGCTATAAGGAGGCTGGGACGGCGGGCGCGGCCCCCAGAACACGTCACGCCAGCGCCATGCTCAGCGCCCAAGAGCGCGCCCATATCGCACAGGTCTGGGACCTGATCGCCGGCCACGAGGCGCCCTTCGGGGCGGAGCTGCTGCTCAGGTGGGTTGGGGCGGGGTCTCCAGGATCTCTGCGAGGCGGAGACTGGAGTGTTGGGTTTGGTGGCGTGGGGAGCGTTTGACCCGGGTTTCCTGGGGTCTGGGCTGTGCTGGCGTGCAAGGGCCACCCTCCCCACTCACCTCCTGCTCCCGTAGGCTCTTCGCAGTGTACCCCAACACTAAGACCTACTTCAAGCACCTGGGCGACTGCCCCGACGAGGTGCTGCTGCTGAACCACGGACAACGCATGCTCGAGGCGGTGGGCGTGGCCGTGCGGCACGTGGACAACCTGCGCGCCGCCCTGAGCCCGCTCGCCGACCTGCACGCACACGTGCTGCGCGTGGACCCCACCAACTTTCCCGGTGAGCCAGCCCAGGACATGGCAGGCTTCGCACAGGCAGCCGAGGCGGGGAGGCATTCGGGGAGGAATGGGTGGGGACAGACCCCTTCTCACCCACCTCTTCCCCCGCAGCTGCTGATCCAGTGTTTCCAGGTGGTGCTGGCTTCCCACCTCCAGGACGAATTTACTGTGGAGATGCAGGCCGCGTGGGATAAATTCCTGACTGGCATAGCCGTGGTGCTGACGGAGAAGTACCGCTGAGTTCAGTGCCCCGCAGGCCTAGGTCTGAGGACATCAATAAACAGGCCTCAAAACGCTGGACCTTGCAAGTGTGTGGTCTTTGGGGAGCAGGCAGTCATTGTTGCTGGGCAGAGAAGCTCTGGCTCCCCAGGGGAGCCTCTCAGAGTTGTAGGGCTCGAATTGTAGGGATCAACCCTGAACCTTCGCTGACAAGAGAAGTGGGGGGTGCCCAGGAGCAGGGCCCTGGGCATTCTCCAAACCCTGAATGAGGACAGTTCCTGGGCTGACAATCTGGGGTCTAGATAGGATGTGGACACCCAAAGGCTTGAACAGAGCAGTTGCTCTCCTGGGGCAGGGGAACCTGCTGGGGTAGAGTGGGTGCTCGATGTGGGCAGGGTCTTCGGCTGCAACTCGCATCCGGCCCCCCGAGCGGTGCCACACCATCCCCACAAAGCACCTCTGCGTTCACACGTTTGTGCATCTCCCTCTGTCCCTACCTCCTGGGAGCTGCAAGTGTCAGTTTTCAACTCTTTAACACAGACTCCCCCATGTGAAGTTCCTGGCCTGAGGTCAAACAGACTTCATGGCCCAGGGCTCCTCAGACCCTACCTCTCTTCTTTTCCCATTTTCTCCCCTACCTGCAAAGGTCAATCTGCAGTAGCTTTGCTCTGTGCCAAGTTTAGCCCCTTCCTCTGGATCTCCTGGGGCAGGGAGTTGGGGTAGGAAGGAGGCCCTCTAACGCCACAATCAAGCAGACAGATGAGATTTCCAACCCGATTCACATCAACGTGCTGAGTGATACTAGGCATGTCCCTAAGCGATCTAAGCCTAAAGCATCCCACAGGAAGAAGAAAAAAAAAACCCAACTTCACTGGGTCTTTGAAATAACTTGAGATCATAATGCAGGGTTGGTGCTCCGCAGGCCCATGGCCACCCAACCCCCACCCCAGCCCTGCTGCTGCATCTCAGTCTCTGTGGTTTGCTGGCTAAGGCACACCTTACCTCACTCCACCTCGCCCACCCCCATCAATCTCCCCACTCCAGGGCATGGGTA